ATTATATATAATATTATAATAGATAAGTCTAATAAATATCTAATAAAAATCTAATAAATATCTATTTTTTAATAACTAATAAATAATTAATAAATAATTAATAAATAATTATTATATTATAAAGTAATAATTTTTCTTTTATTTAAAATAGAGCTAGTATTATATTTAAATAATAATTTAATTATTATCTATTATTAATAATAGTTATTAAGTTAAAAATAATTAATAACTATATAATAATTTAATACTAGTTTTAAAACTAATCATAACTGTTTTAAAACCTCAAAAAACCTTCACTAACCGTCGTTACTAAATGGCCTGGGCCACTACGTATTTAATTATTTCCAGTTTTCCAGTAAGCTAACACCTCCTTGTTCACCCGCCGGGGTTCCGGTCTATTACCATAAAATACAAGCAATCTCCTAAGACAGGTCAGGGTTAGTTACTACGCTGCGAACTAGTGTGTATACCCATGGAGTGAGGGGTAATCATGATGACGCGTAATCATTCTCAATATTATAGATAAAATGCTGACCAATAATATCCTTTCAGTTGTTTCGAAGGTTAAATACCCAGAAAATGAAGGTGTCTCTTCCTGCAGTCTGTTATTGATGCTTACTACTTCCCTATCCTGAAGTTGTTTGACCTTTGAATTTTCTAAAATATTTCTTTTAGATTCGGGTAAAATGGCAAGATATCACAAGCTCGTAACTGGCGAAGAGGATGGTATAGCTGAAAAAAGAAATCCAACCCTGAAATCAAGCCGTCGATCTTGCGAACTGTTTCTTACGATTCTGGTTTTGACCAATGTGATTATACTGAGTTTCTTGATATCGGCATTTATGGCAGTGCATAATAAGAATCATTTTGATGGAATTTACTCGCACAGTGATCTTAATGTTGATTTGAAGAAGACATCTGCGTACTGTACTGATCCTCTTAACTCTTGTCTGCTGGGACCATCCACTGAAACTTTGATAGCTCCCTTATTCGACTTGCTTGACCTGCGTGGGTCTTTATACCAAATCAATGGTCGGATTCACGACAAAACATCTATATTCCGACAAGATCCATCGCCTGAAGTGGACAGAGCTTGGGACCATATTTCTGCTGAGGGTAAAGAAATCATTCTTGTGCCCGGGTCTGCTGTGTCAAAATCTCAAAAGGAAACAAATATCAGTGTCAAGGCTCCTACAAGCTGGGGAGGGGGGGAAAACCTCTATATTGCACAGATTGATGTGTTTCATCAAATACACTGCCTCAATGAGCTACGCAAAGAAATATGGTTCGACTATTACTACGGCGACAACCAAGACTTGTCGAAGACATCAAACTCCTCATTCAGACGATCCCACCTCGACCATAAGAGCCACTGTATCCATATGCTGCTTCAAACATTGATGTGCCATGCGGATGTGGATATTATAACACATAACTGGGTGCATTATAATGATATCAATCAACCAAGTCGACCATACGCCGAGCCTTTCGCTGACTTCAACATGATAAAGAAGTGTCGGAACTTTGACCACCTTCTTTCGTGGGTAGAGGAGCATGCGGTCCGAGACCTCGCAAAGAAATGGCATGATTTACGAATGCCAGAAGGAGCAACACTTGTTCAGGATGATGGATACTTTTAGCTTCGATATGAAGGCGCGTTGAACTATACTTATTTTCCCCGACAACATTTATGTATCTAGTGTGCTGCTAGCTCGTCTGGAACAAACAATGTCCTATCAAAGTATTTTATCCTTCGGTCAATAGCCCATTGTCTGATCCTGTCAAAATCTCGACAGGTGTGGGCAGTTTCTGCAACCTCTTTCGCCTGATGAGCGACAGCATCCCATGCCCAGGGAAGAGGTGTTATATCGGCTGAACACATGAGGCTCTGTCGCAATGCATCAATGCAATGTTCAATATGCTCCATTCCCATGAGCTCGTGGTCTGCTGGGAAGTCTTCTTTGGACCAAATTCGTTTTCGAAGCATATTCTATATACCATCTGTGAGCATAAATTACCAAGAATATGGGGGATTCAACTTACCAAGCAATGGAGTTGATGAAAAACATTCAGGCTCACGACGTAGTACCCTGGATCATCTGGAATTGGGACAGTTCGGTTGACAAGCTGAGCGGCATCACTCTTCGGAATACGACTCACGCCAACTAATATATTTTCAGCCGGGTCCCAGATTTATTGTTGCTGAACAAGAAAATATCAGACAAGAAAATGCTTCTTACAGCCGTAGAGCTCGTTCCATGCAGCATCCCGTTCAGGAGACGGGGGCCCTTGGTAAATTGTGCGCCCGCTGCCGAAGCCGCTGGTAAATACAACTGTCCGGTAACTGATTTCCTGCTGTGCAGGCGCTATACTAAATAAGCAAATATGTTGTTCTCTGATGAGAACTAACTTACAGAACACAGGGGGATGCTCTAAGTTCGATCCTGGGGGCTTGGAGAGATAATACTGCGCTATGCAGAAGACTCCTAGAATAATCACCAGCGCTCGGTGGATGAACAACGCCTTCTGAAGTCTTCGGATGGCTATTTTGGGGTTTGAAACTGGGTCAACAAACTGCTCGAGCAGCTCAGTATCCCCAATTTGATATATCATTGGACTGGTGGACATCACGATAGTAGGGAATAGACACAATACCAAAGTGTTTTGTGTGTGCCATAGGAAAGTAGAAATAAAAAGAGAGCCCAGCTTTATCTCCGACCATGTGTAGAAATATTATGTTAGCCTTAACATGCATTGGGATTTGGGGGCATACTTAGGGCCAGCCTGATCTGCATACCAATGCATGATGCATCACAGGCAAGGATTAGAAAAAGATTATGACTTAACCATCTAAGGTAGGTAGTAGAAGTGATGACGCGGCATAGCTCCATATCTCTAGCTAATTATAAAATATTAATATATCATAGCCAAGGTATAAGTGATGCAAGTTGACATTTACATGAAGTAAATTACTCAATTTCTTAATACAATGGGACTTATTGATTCAATTTTGAAGCGTCTATCTCCCTCCTGGCATCTAGGTGCCAAGTATTGGAAAGTGGACTCATCTCTCCTTCTTGGGGATTATGAAGATGATATTGAAGAGGCAGAAGAGCCTCACAGATCTAGGCTCCCTATGATCTTGATCATTGCCTCTGTCGCTATTCTCTACTCTATGTCTCTCATTTTCATCGGCTGGTTCCTGCGCGGCGGTGACTGCACAAGAGATGCATTGGATACCGCTTGGGGTACGAATTTCCGCTCTCTCTGATTATCCTACAACTTCAAGTTTCCTGAAATTGCTGAATCCTCATTTCAACTACATAGGAGAGGCCAAGAGGGCTGTTCGATTTGAGACTAAAGAGTTTAACCCACGCTTTCGCGGTCCACCATCCGCATTCATGGGTCCGCCTACGCCAGAGATTGACGCTGAGTGGTATCACCTGGCAAAAAGTATTGATTGTGTTGAAGTATGAGAATCTTAAATTGACTTTGGCCAGTTTTCAATTTTGGGGTCGATTATCCAGTCCTAAAAGCACTAAATCGCACACAAGGGGCAATTAAGTATCCTGGTACAGGAGTCTACCAGGCTGGAATGGAGGTGTTCCATCAGCTTCATTGCCTTGTACGTGTCAATATTTGATGACCCATATCGAATTCAAATACCTAACAACTAAGAATTACATTCGCATGTACACCTATCAAGATCACTATGGAAATACGGACTACGACATGATAGGAGAGACCCCGGAAGAGCGACAGCGACATAAAGGTAAGGTTGCAGGAAGAGATTTAGCCGAATATTGTCTGACCACATCAGATCATTGCATTGAAAACATTCGTCAGCGTTTGATGTGTGCTCCTGATCTTAATGTGTATACCTACCACTGGCTCCCGGAGAGTACTCTTCCACATGGACATCTGTTTACCCGTCACCAGTGTGTTGAATGGGACAGTTTCTATGCCTGGGCAGAAAACAGCGCTATAAATTCACCACCCCTCTCCAAGCCCAATGATGCTGAGACATTGACAATGGCTAGGGATCAATAGCAATTTGGTTGTACATAGGCTTGAGCACCTGTATCTCCTTTCTATATACTGCAGTAGTGAACTCCCTAATGCCGAGATCATGGATTATAGATGAGGTATTGACTTGGTATATCAGAGTAAATATGAAAGCATATTAATTTAATATTCTTAAGCTTAGCTACCATCCCAGCCCATATTGTAGTTAATCATACACTTTAGTAAGTCTGAAGTTGTATGGCTGATATTTTGGAAAGTTGAATGAGCCCTGCAGGAGGAGTGACCAAGCAGTATATTTAGTTAACTAATATAATTCCCGCCTGAAAGAGACACTTCATCTAGAATCGCGTCTTCATACTCACCTACCAAGTTCAACCACCTACCATGCCACCAATTCGCTCTGACTCTCGGCAACAATCGGCCCTTCAAGAAGGCAGGGTTATATTAATCCTTAGCGATATTAAAAACGCCCGTATTAGATCCCTCCACGTAGCAGCGAAGCTGTATGAAAGACCGCCTGCTACACTACACGACCTGTAGGCTAGGCAGGGTACACGGCATGGAAAGAGAGTAATCTACTGAGTCGCGAAAACAAATGAGTTGATTCCTCTGCATGAAGCGTTACATGAGAATCTGTTCAATGTGACTCCCTATCGGGGTAGCTGGCGGAGTCCGTGGGAAAACGTTCTCTCTACCCTTGCCGACAGTGCAGCACAGCTGTTCGGATCCATCCCCTCGGTTCCATCTAGACAGGTCTGTGCCCTCTTCCCCTGCCAACAGCGCCACAACTCAGGGTTGTGGGTACATAGATTGTGGATCTGTACATATCTGGATAAAGGCGGGTCACCTGCCGCCGCGCGGTGGTTCAACTGCTCCACTTGGGTCTAGAATACGGGTAGAAACCAATTTCTCAAGACATCAAATAATACTTGGGGTCTCAAAGCCAGTTTCAAACCAATTGAAACTTTAATTTACAATAGGAGAGTGGTATATTGCTGGCTGGAAAAAGTCAAGACTTTGGCTTGTAATAAGAGAACTAGCCAAATATATGTCTGATTTGAACTGAAATTGGTCCAGCGCCATGTAGGCAGCTATTATTTACACAAAGTCGTCTTACTTAATCTGGTAGCATGGATAGTGAAACCTATAGGGGCCGGAAGGTGAAATGTAGGTGGTGCTATCTATGACTTTGTGGCCCTTTGGCCAATCACTTATGTGTTGTTGCTCATGCAGGCGATGGAGCATTACTAGATCACTTAAGTTATTTTCAGCTCTAACTGATTTGCCAGAGATCCACAATTGACTATCAATACATCTTTTACACCAGTATACAGTATGAGGTGAGTTAAGTAAGATTGTTATTCACTGTTGGTCCTGGATAGAACTGACAATCGAACAGAGATCCTACGCGGGTCCCTGGATAGCAAGGAAATTCACCCTATCGAGTATGCAGGCCGATGATGGGAATAAGCGAGAGAGAACTGGCGCTATTATCACCTCAAGTTGCCTCGCCAAACCCCCATATCTCCTTTTAGTTCAACCACTATATTAAGGCGCTGGCTACATGGTATGATTTGAATGATATTAGTAGGACTTTTAGTACAGTAATACCCCCACGTTCTTTCCATGTTCTTGTGTGATTTTAGGTCATTATAGCGCTTTACCCAAACGCCCCTACTACAACCTGGCTAAATAATTGATTTGGAATCAATTGATGTATAGTCACGTTTTAGATGACAGATGCGGGGTTCAGAATATCAGAATGACGCGGTCTTCTCCCTCCCTGTTACCAACGGGGTCTGTGCGGTTATTACCCTGTTCAACAATACTTGAGATTCCCTGGATCATGATTTTTAGTGATTTGATTATATATATAAGAGAATACTTATATACTTGGGTAGTTAAGAGGCATAAAGCACATAGGTGTTGCCAGGCCTAAAACTATCTTTATTTCTATACTAAAGTTCATTACCACTTTCCTAATATTATACTCTGTGACCACCTTTCACAATGAAACTTGTTATTCTAAGTCTTGTTACTCTAAGAGTACTCTTAGCTTTTGCTGCTCCTGTGACTGGTACAGATGACGTCTCTGTCAAACCAGATGACAACGAGGTCGACCTTACTGCCACCCGCAGTGGTTGGATCTACAGACGTGATGCCAGTGCATCTGCCGAGCCGGACGATAACGAGGTCGACCTTACTGCCACCCGCAGTGGTTGGATATACAGACGTGATGCCCGCGCATCTGCTGAGACTCACTAGCACGATATATAGGTTGATTTGGCTGTCGCTAGCAAAAAACGGAAGGGTTCCTTCAGCGGAGTTGCCGTCTTCGCAGTACAATACTAGCGTCAATCAGATGATTCTTCCGCCTGCTAAATTCGAGCACCCTCAGCCCAGGGAGAAGCAGGCGTTGGGGAGGCAAAATGAGGGTTTCCAACTCTATTTGGCTACTGTTATACTTAGCAAGCACTCTTTTACCTAGATAAAACATAGCCGGTGTCACTAATCCCTATGAGCATTCCTATCATCTATTCAATATCTCCTATATTAACAGAAAACGCGCTTTCACTTCCTTTATAAGTAGCCTATTATGTAGCCCGGGGTCTATCTGACTCTATTAAAACAGATTAACCATATAGACTTATAGTTATACAGGATCACACTGTCCATGCCGCGGTATTTATAGGCGTAGTTGACGACATTCTTGAAGAGAGTTCATACAAGAGGCTTAGAGAGCCGGCTCGCTGTGCCCTCGGTAACCATCTCGCCGAGTGTCTCAATACGGCCTTGTATTAGATGGGTGGCTCATGTCCACTCCGCTTACCATATGTTAGGGGCCTTGAATTGGATAGTTGTAGTTGTTGAAGCAAACGCCTCGGCGCTGAAGACTTGCTGCCTATCTATAGATATATGCATCTCTTGCTGTTTAAATGTAACCTCTTTTTAACCTGTTTTCTTCCTCTCTTTATCACTCTATTATGGTGCTATTCTTATTCATCGACTTATTTTTTGTTCCTGCCGCTCAATCTGCTGCCGCGCAATCCTAGATGGTAACAGTAACTAGTGATTGACAGTTCTGCTCTCATGAACCGACTTCTCTTTTTATTTATATCTCTTCTTTTTTTCTCCCTTATTCAGCTTCTGAACTAGATAGTCATGTCGAAATATATGTCTTCCTTACAGGTCTTATCTGATCTTGATTATGATCGGAATCCTAGGTGCCCCTTCATGCCTCAGAAGGATTGCCTAGTCAGCTAAACTTTAAGAAATCCCACTACCTAGGTTAAAACACTAAAGACGCTAACAAATTGGTTTCAGCCCCCTGAGATGATAAGAATGACGCAGATCATGTAGATAATGATAGAATAAGAGAGGTGGAGCAATAATTATGTAGTGGCCCAAGGGGTTTAGTAACAATGTGGTTAATAATTTAGTATTAATAATAATAGTAAGCATATAGGTGTATTATATATTATAAATAG